TGGAAAAAAGTAGATTGGATCCAAAAGAATGAAAGCAGACCAATTTGATCAGCAAAATGTGGGAAAACACAGATACACCATCACCGACACAGACGGAGTCTGTTTGACTGAGGAAACCTAAAAAAATAATAAATTATTTGGAGAATCAGTTGTACAGTATCTTTACCATTTAACGCACCCAGAAGTCTGCAAAATGCTTGAACCTGAAACTTAGGAAAATGTCAGAACCAGGTCATTTAGTTTTGCAAATTGTGGCTTTTCATGGGACCAGATCACCTCCCAGTGTCATCCCACTCTCCCACCAACGTGGGAAGCTAGTGCCAGTCCCCTAAGTCAGGTTCCAGCTAGAAATGCACTGAACACTGAGCTCAATCTTTAAAAAGAAGCACAGGAGTGGAGACTTTTTAATCAGAGTCTTTGTGAGTGCAGTCAGAAAGTTTGACCAGACGATAAAGTGGACTGACAAATTACCATGAGGCAAGCCATGCAAACAGAGGATCGTGTCTGTGATCCAAAGCGACAGCACGATCCTCTCCCCCAGACACGCTGTCACAAACATGGAGGAGACGGACACAAGCCCCAGCATCTGATCCGAGACAGCACATGTCAGAGGCCATCACAGCCGAGGGAAGTCTGAGATTTTCCTGTTTCTAAGTGTCTGTGTAATGTGGTGGAGCTGGAGTCCTCAGAGTGTGTGAGGCTGAGGGGCTAGAAACATAAATTACATGGCAGCATTAGACAATAACGAGTTCTGATGGGCCTGCCTGGTAAAGTGACAGACAAAGGCAAACTAGCAGGAAGATGAGACAATAGAGGGATGATGGCAGATGGAAGCCGGAAAAGGGGAAGATGTAATCAGAGAGATGCATCGTTGTCATCTCCTCTGAACAGTTCTGAACAATCTCATCTCAGTCTGTCTTGCTGCTTCAGTAACAATTCAACAGAACGGAAGCCCACTATTTTTATTTGAAATATATAGTTTAAATCAAAGATAAAGCAGTGAGCTCATACAGTCTGAATGTCCTTGTGTTTCACAGCCTGAGAAGGCCTCCTGGTACATGCAGATTCCAACAGAATTTGTGAACTTCCAACATCACATTGACATTATGCTATGAGGATAGGTGAAAAAAAATAGTCCCAAAAGATTTTACAGACAGCTCTGGCTAGCCGGATTTTTAATGGACAGTGATGTCATTAACGACGGAAGCACGAGGGCCTGAACGTCACACGATGGATGGACTTAGCCGTAAAGCTCCAGTGGAACATTTATTGGAATCTAGTTGATATGAAACATGTAAACAATGCTGTTTTTTTAAATAAACAACAACTTGACACTTGAATTTGCAACTTTATACTGAAAAGTAAAGAAAGTACTTCCTTGCCACACCACCATGATGTACCAACAGTGTAACAGTGGGGAGGTGGAGATTTTTTGGGGTCACCGTACATTTTCTAAACCCTTGGAAGAGGAACAGGAGGAAGGAAGTTTTCTTATGATAATAAGTATTGTAATTTGTCGTTTTGTCCAATAACATTATAGCTTAATATACATAAAATCTACTTTTGTAATTTCACACAAAAAATAAAAGAAGACCAAAACCCAAACTCATACGTAAAAATGCTGACTGAAACCAATGAAACACCCAAACAAGATTCAAAAGGTCTGTGAGTTTGGGTTTGTTTGGCTCTGACTCAGTAAGAGAATACCACTATTGAAACTACTGGCTTCCAAGCATTCACAATCCTCCACGTACTCCGTTTTTTGATCAGTTTCTTGATGACCTGGCTTCCATAAAACACTGGAAACGGGAGAGAAATAGTTCCTTTAACAAGTTAGAATTGCAAACTTCCTGAACTTCTCAAGGGAAGACTGACCAGTCTATATTGACTCTGCTCTGTTCCCAGAGAAGAGGAATCCCTCTGAGAGAAACACGTGATTATAGACACCTGAATTACAAAACAACCAGGGCAAATACATCTCCTGATACTTTGTGCTTCCTCTCTGAGCAGCCACAACCTGACCCAGAACCTACCTTCCCTCCTCCCGGCTGGTACTTGATGTTGTCGATGGACCCGATCTTGGAGCGGACGTTCTTCAGGTCTGGGGTCGGAGCGTTGATGGGCCGGGGGGTCCGGGGGGCGCGGGGCACCGCCGGCTTCTTCTCCAGGGGGGTCTGCTTGGGCACGGGGGGTTTGGTGATGACCCGGCGGCGGTGGGCGGTTGAGCCCTCCCCATTGGTGGAGGCGGCCGGGGTGGTGGGGGCGGCGGTGGATACCGGACGAGGACGGGCTGCAAACGGAGGGATGGACGTCGTCACAAATAAAGCTTAGATTAGGGGTCTTCTAGGACCCCCAAACTGATGAAAGGGGACACCCTAATTATGTATAGCCTATTGTCTGAAATTGTGTTATCTCAAACTGGCCCTATAGTGTAAATGTCCCTTGTTATTGGGCATTCAATGCTAAGATCCTCAAATTATCCAGAATCAAAACAGTACAATAATACAGAAAAAGGCAGAAAACAGCAGAAAAACATCATAAAGAAACAAAAAAAGGCAGAATACAGCCGGAAAACAGCAGAAAAACAGCAGGAAAAGGCAGAAAAAAGGTACAAAAACAGCAGAAAAAGGCAGACAAACAGCAAAAAAAGGCAGAAAAACATCAGAAAAAACTCAGAAAGAAATAGAAAAAGGCAGAAAAAAGTAGAATTTCATGTGGTTTTAAAGACATTTACATTAGTGGAAACAATTGCAGGGGGAATATGAAAAAAAGTCTTATCAACCAAAACTTTTGTGGACCCCTGTTGAAGAACTCCGGTTTAGATCATTCCTTCATGAAGTCTGAAATAGAGGTGATGGTAACCAGAACTCTTAGAAAACTTCAGATACAGAATAAATAAATGCTCCTACCTGTCGTCTTGGGTTTCTTGGCCTCCCCTGTTTTGTTCTCAGTCTTCTCATTTTTGTTTGCTGTACATAAAAAAAGGATATATATAAACATTTTTTTACTCAGTTGTATTGTCACACCTCAAAAGTTACTTTATACATTACAATGTAATAAAATAAATCCATGAAAAAACATGAAACACTAATTATAGTCTCTTAGCTAATTAAACTGGGCTACAGTTTACTGTTTTAATAAGTAGAAATAGTTCTACTTAAATAAGAATCTACACATGCTGACCATGTCTGCTCTACCTTTTATTTGCTGCCTTTTGCTTACATTGTGTTATTTTTCAGTCAACTTTACTTTTCTCCATTTATTCCATACTAGCTTCTCAATCAGTGATGCATAATAACTGGTTATAACCCATTTGCACTGTACTGTGATGCATGGATTTCTTTTTAACTTCAAAATTTGATCTTTGAATGAGTATTGAGAGATGTGACTATAAGATAATCAGTTTAAAAGAGAACATGTAGCCACACTTGTCTTTCTCTCCTCCTGAAAAATAGTGGGATAATGTGACCACGGCAGATTTGGGCTTACTCATTACACAATAAAAGGAAATTCTGAACCTCTGGGTCTACAACACAGATGAATCATGTTCTCTGAGGGTGTTGAGGAACACGAACAGTGTGTTTGACTCATAGCTCGTCTTCCAGAGGTGACACAGTGTTTGTGATGTCAAGATAAAAATACCAGTGTGGTGTCTTACAAAAAAGAGCTCCTGAATAATCTGATAAAGTGGAACATAAGGCAGTATTTCAGTTAGCCTCCAGCCTGGAGTGGAGCTGCAGTGAGTCATTGTTGGGACTACTGCTCCTGTAGAGAGCTGGACACAGTCTGAGACCGTTCAGATCACAGACTCGGACAGAGAACGTGCACGTGCTGGTGATGGTGCACGTACCTGCGGTTTTGCTAGCCGCTGGGGAGCCGTTCTTACTGGCCGAGGGGCGGGGAGTGGGTGTGGCCTTTGGCACAGTCGGGCGTTTTTCAGCTGGGTCGTTTTCTGGAGACTGGAAGTTTGAATAGAGGAGAGACAAAAGAAGTTAGTTTCTGCTTTAGAGTGTGGGAAAACCTGTGTGTATATAATATATATCAGATATGTGTGTATACAGGCCGTCATTTCTGTTATCTGGCACCACAAAAGACTAATCATGCAGGAGGGCTGAGAGTGAAACCAAAGAGAGCAAAAGAAAAAAAGGAGTTTGAGCTTTTAATATTGAAAGATTGGAGATGAGATATGGAACAGTGGGATGATAAGCAGTGTCTGAGGACCGGCAGAAGAATAAGGAAAGTCTTATTAGGAAAAAGATTTCTATGGAGAGATAAACAACTTTTATGAGTCTCTGTCTGTAAGATCTCAAACCACCCCACATTTAACTTTTTTGTGTTTATGGGAGGATTTTTTTCCTACAACTGTCTTTAAACTTAGCTAATTCTTACAATACAATAGTTTACAGTACATCATTTTGCACAGATTTCTCCCTATAAATCCTTTAAAGGATTTATTTTGCTAAATCATCTGCAGGTTTTTCTGTATACTGTATCACCAACTACATTAGCAAATGTAAAAGGAAAACTATATTTATATGCAAATGAAAGTGTATATGGTGAATGAGTCATCATTCATATTCCATCTTCTATTGTTGTGTATCAGAAAATATTTCAAAATGCTATCTTTACATCAAATGAATGACTTATTAAATTTGCCAGTGTAGGAAACATTTTTTTTTTCCTTATGTTCCAATTTCCAAGACTCTCGGCAATTTAAATGTATTTGTAAAATCCAAATTAAAACCAGATTAGGTCAGAGGAAAGTCAGGAATAAGAACTTTGCTCATTCAGTTTCAAAAGTCAGATGTAATCCCGTTGTGTTGTCCAGTCCAAAGCTGCATGCAAAACTCACTTTAAAGGCAGACATTTTGGAGAAAAAAAATATTCAGAAATAAAATACCCACAAGTTAACAGAAAAACTTAGACAGATTCTGACTACTGACGAGGGAAAAATTCCCTTTTCAAAAGAGACAAAAACCAGGCCCCTTCTCCAAAATGTTCCATAGGAGTTAATATGTAATCTGGAATGGGATTTTTTCTTTCTTTCTTTCTTTCTTTCTTTCTTTCTTTCTTTCTTTCTTTCTTTCTTTCTTTCTTTCTTTCTTTCTTTCTTTCTTTCTTTCTTTCTTTCTTTCTTTATTTATTTATTTATTTATTATTTCATAAGTGGGACATTCCCTGATGTTTGCTGGGGAATGCTACAGTAATTATGAAGAAATTCTAAAAAACAAATACCTTAAAAATCACAAGATCAGAAATGGTCTCACATCCTGCCCTAAAGCAAAAACTCTACCTCTTAGAAATAAAATTCCCACATTTTCAAGGGAAAGGGAAAAATTCCCTTTCAAAATAGACAAAAACCAGGCCCTTCTCTAAAAATGTTCCACATGAGTTAATGCACAATCTGGAATGGGATGCTACAGTAATTGTTTAGAAAGATCAGAAATGGTCTCACATCCTGTCCTAAAACAAAAACTCTTCCTCAATCTACTGTAATATACTGGAATCTACTGGGATCTACTGGGATCTACTGGAATCTACTGGGATCTACTGGAATCTACTGGGATCTACTGGGATCTACTGGAATCTACTGGGATCTACTGGAATCTACTGGAATATAATGGAATCTACTGGGATCTACTGGAATCTACTGGAATATACTGGAATATACTGAAATCTACTGGGATCTACTGGGATCTACTGGGATCTACTGGGATCTACTCACCTTTCCAGCCTTGTGGGCAGCAGTTGGCGGCGGCCGCTTGGCGGCGGTGGGCGTGGTCGCCTTGGGGGTGGGGCTTTTTTTATTAGCTGTGGTTGGGGAGGGGCGTTTGGCTGAATTAGCCTCCTCATTGGTGGAGAGGGTGGAGGGGCGCGATTTGGCTGAGTTTTGTTTGGTTGACCCCACATCAGGCTGGGATAATGATATCGAAAGAAGCCAAAATGCAGTAAATGGAAAAAAAGGGGAAATAAAGGGAAGGGAAAGAAAGAGTGCGGACAGAGAAAGAAAGAAAAAGCAGCAGTGAAATCCCAGCAAAGCTAGCGTGAACTATTAGCTGTAATCATAAACAGGCTGTAAATGATCACATTCAATTAGCAATTTATAGCCAACTTAAAGATCGTACGAGCAGTAAATAATAAAAGCATCGAATGAAATGAAGTGATCTGTCCTCCAGATATGAAATGAAGCTTTGTGTGTATACTGGTTACTTCCAGATACAGAACAGAAAAGCCGGAGTAAAGCAACTTATGGGGACTTCCTGTAAATGTGGGAGCAGGAAATGTACAGAGCCCTCCACAATTATTGGCCCCCTATTTAAGATGTGGTTGAGGATTTCTACAAATTCTCAATTTTTTTTAAAACAACATAGAACCCAAATGCAAAAAAGAGAAAAATCCAGCCTTTTATTTAAGTTCATTACTTTGGTGGTAAAAATAAAATCACACGTTTAGAAAATAAAAAAGGTGAAATCACATGTCCCACATTTATTGCCCCCCCCCCTAACAGTTATGCTGCAAAATGTAATGGATTTCCTTTAAATATATTTTTCCGTAGTTGCTAAAGTTGGAACTTTTAATTAGTAATTCATGACTTCCTGTTTCCCTGGAGTATAAATATGACCATTTCAC